TCTAACATGCTAGATAAAGGGAGCACCGATTGTTATGCACACAGCCGAAAGTTTATCATCACCAACGGAGTAGAGGTCCTGTCAGGAGCACGCCAGGACGATCCGGACCAGACGATGCTGAAACTGACAGTTCAGACCACCGATGGTACTGAGGTACGACACTCCTCACAGTCGCGAGCAGTAAGGGAAGCTGATCAGAGTGTTTGTTCCTGTTGGCCTCCATCTGTGAAGATGGCAGCAAGGTTGGCTTAAGGTAAGCTGACTTCAGCTTCGTATTGCATACCTTAACCCAACCCTCCAGGTGTACTGTAGACCTGGCCTACAAGCAGGGCTTGTCTGCACGTAGCATTATTCTGGAATAACTCCCTGTAGCAAGACACTTATTCTGGAATGAAGGCGTCTTGTTCCTGGATTGTTTAAAGTGAATTAAGCTAAACAGGAACAAGGCCATTTTATTCTGGAATGAGATCATCCAGGGTTTATTTACACTACAGAGAAGATGGACACTGCCGCAGTCAATTTGGGATTCAAATTAATGGGTCTAGTGAAAACCCGCTAATTTGAACTGAGAGGAAACTCCTGTTGGCATCAGTAGTCCTGCTCCTCATGAAGCGTAAGGGAACTTGATGGGACATGTGCTCCTGTTGACCTCCTGCTGTGGGGATTGCGCCAAAACATGATTTAAGATACTTCAGCTCCAGCTATGTAATTAACGTAGCTGAAGTTGTGTTTCTTAAGTCAATTTTTCCCTTCAGTGTAAACCAGGCCCCACACACAAGTCAGTCTGGAATAGCTATTATGCTTTACATTCACACCTAATCTTAATCTGAACTAACTTTCAGGGAAGCAAACCCTCAGACTGATGCCATGGAAAACCAGTCTGCCGCCTTGCTGTACCAATGTGTGTCAGATACAGCAAGAGAGACAGAAAGAAAAAGTGTCAGCATTATGCTCAGGGCTTGACAAATAATGTCATCTACTCGCCTGTAGCGAGTAGATTACAACCCGGAAGAGCTGGCGCAGAGCGAGCTGCGCATGTGCAGAGTGCAGAACCGCGCAGCTGGCGAGCGGGGCTCACTGCCGCTTGGCGAGCCCTGATTATGCTCATAACATGAATTTGAGTGAATTAACTCCCTGCACTGGAAATAGGGTTGCTAAGTGTCCGGTATTCAACCGGACAGTCCGGTTTTTGGGCCCTCTGTCTGGTAAAAAATTCAGAAAATACCAGACATGTGCAATGTCCGGTATTTTCTGGTTTTCTGGCTGGGTGCCCGATGGAAGCCTGGTGGAGGCGGGGGAGTGGCTGGGAGGCGGGCGTGATCGGTGCTGGGAGCCTCTGGTTGCGTCTGATGTTGGAGTGACACCTTGGGGAGGAGGAGAAGCCCTGTCCGTGCTCCTGAGCGCTGTTCAAGTGCATTGTGGAGCTGTAGCCGGACTCACTCGTGCTTTGCCGGGACCGTGCGCAGGACGGGCAGCACCCTGGGATCTGCATGTGCCTGTGTCAGTCCCACTCCCTATTGGCCAATTCTCTTCCCTC